TTTAAGAGATAAATCAATGTGGCCAGACTATAAGACAATCATAAGAAACTTTTCAAGTGGGCAGAAAAGTAGCACTAAAACTTAATGCAAGCAAGGTTACTTTATGAAAAAAATTCCACATTTTATATATAAAATAACAGACCAGAAAAGAATCCTGAAAGTGACCTCTGATCATTTCCCAAAGACATTCGAGTTGACTGCTATAGGATAAAGCTTACGTGGTTTTGACTATCAACAAAAAGAAAACATAATAGAAGTTATCACCCCACTCATGCAGAAGGCTGTGGAGCCATTAACTCTAAAGTATTTAGTCTAGTTCTGTTTGCTCCAACTCCAGAAAGACATAATAAAACTGGAGGGCAGCCAGAGCAAAGAAGACAAATCAGCAAGCGAGAGGAAGACTAGAAACAATAAAATTCTCAGAAAAGAGTTATAGATTCTTAGAATTGGAATTATTCTTAGAATCATGTATATTAATTCCTTATGCTTCCATAATATTCATGATAAATTGTAAGTAGTTTAGTTTATTAAAGGCCTATTACATGCTGGAAATTTACTGGAATCCATCCATTTTGGGAACCTATTTCCAAAATTATCACCTCAAATATGTCTCAAATATATCCACTTTGCTACATCCACTGCCATCAGCTTGGCCCAAATCATCTTTCTCTCTCATGCAACAGCATCCTAACTGGTTACCCTCTTCTACTTCTGCTCCTCACAGCCATGGACCAACTCCCCAATCCACTGTAACCAGAGTAATCTTAAAACACAAACTAAGTCATGTCATTGGCTTACTTAGAATACTTCCATGATTTCCCGCCTACGTTAGGATCAAGTCCAAAGTAAGAAACATGACCCTTAATGATTTGGCTCCTGCCTCCTTAACTAACATCACTTCACATTGCTTTTTCCTTGGCTCGCCGAAGTCTATCCACATTGGCTCTTTGTGAGTTCCCCAAAACAGCTACATGCTTTCCCATTAGGCCCATTACATGTAACAACCACAACCACCATTACAGCTAGCAGTTATGAAGACTTTCCTATGTGACTAGCTCTAGGCTAAGTGCTTTAAGTGGATTACCACATTTAATCCCCACAAGAAACTCTATAAGGTAGTTATTTTCAACTATTTACTGTTGATAAAACAAATATTAAGGAATTTAAGTAGTTCTTCTAAAAAAAATAGGTAAGTGGCAAAGGTAGGAAGTATGTCATATTGGACATGCCAGGAATGTTCTTTCTCCCCAATCTTCCCTCTTCTTTATGGTTGCAACTTATGTCATTTCCTTAAAATTGTCTTTTCTCATCTCCGGAACCAAATTTGGGACCCTTGCTCCTTATACTTCTCCTATAAAATGTGTCACAGTTTATAATAATATACTTCTTTATGTGATTATTTAATTCTTGTTAAACTTCTAATAGACCATGTAAGTTTCATGAAGGCAGGGATCATATGTTCACTAAATGTGCCTAAATATAAATATCTGCTGAATAAATGACTTAAAGTCATCCAAACCTTATAATAATAAGATGTTGAATTACTCTATGGACGTGTCTGTTTGAGTGTTTAAAAGGCTATTAAAATATTCTTGCTGTTCTGATAATGTTTATCAACTAATCCTAACTCTGGTCTTTTGATCAATACTGAAAAAGCACATTATTTTCTCTTCTACAGCTCTTTATATACTTTCAGCCTAGAAAGTTAAAGACAGGACTAGCAGTTAAGGTGGGATAATTCCAGTTTATTTAAAAAAAATGCTCGAATGAAGAAGATAATGGGGCATCTTTTGAAATCAGAGAATTATTTAGGGCATATTTCTAGAAATTAATTCTTCATCTATAGTAAATGAATTTAAGGGGTATACAGACATGAAATGTAGATGGGATTGCTGTATGTGGCATACTCTACTGTAAATTGGCTTCTAATTTGTATAAATCTAGAAAAAAATAAATAAAACTGGAGAGATCCAGTTAAAGGCAATTAAATGCCTGTATAGAAAGACTGGGAAAAGTTAAATCTAGCTATGTGGTTATAAATAAACTTAGATATCCCCAAATCATAAGATTGATGTTATGAAGTGCAACCATATCTTTCAATATCTCGAGAGAGTTTTGTTTTAACAGAATTCTGGATTAGATGAACTATGCTTCTAAGATTTTGAAACTAATAAAATAAAAGTTGTTACTTACTAGATCCAAAAATAGTCTTCAGGCATTTTATATGTATTAATTAACTCAAAATAGCCACTAAAGTGGCTAAGATAAAAAGCCTTTATCTTCCATTCTTAATGAGAAAGATGGAATCTCAAACTTGGAAAGGTCCTTTTGTTTTGATAATTTATCTGATACTTAAAACCTCTCTATAACGTTTAGGTCAAGTGGTTGTTCAACTAACATTAAAATATCCCCAGTTACGTTAATTGACTTGAGGGGGGCTCATTTCACAATGTATACATGTATCAAATCATCACCTACACTATGTCTTACAATTTTATTTGTCAAATATACATCAATAAAGATGGTGGGGGGAGTGGGAAGTTGCTAGCATGGTATAATGCTTTGGATTTGGAGTTTGGAGCTCTGGGTTTATATCTCAATTCTGCAATTTATTAGCTATGTAACTTTAAACAGGTTGCTTAGTGTGCATCAGTTTTCTCATTTAAAAAAACTGGAATAACAAAATGAGTCTTTTCAAATTGTTTGAGAATTAAGTGAACTGCTATAGTATAACACATCACTTGGCATTATGCCTGGCACATAACAACTGATCAATAAATGTTAATTTC